ATTTGTAAGTTCTTCCTAAATGAGATAGATGCTAATTGTATAAAAGTTTTCATAGAAAATGTGAATGAGAAGAAAACTGAATTATCTATAATTCCTCTTCATATTGCAAATTAAAAAATTGAAGTGCTCCAGGGGCACCTGGGTGGCTCAGTCGGTAAGCATCTGACTTCAGCTCAGGTCACGATCTCACTGTTCATTTGTTCGAGCCCCACTTTAGGCTCTGTGCTGACAGCTCAGAGTCTGGAACCTGCTTCGAATTCTGTGCCTCTGTCTCTGCCCTTCCTCCACTCATGCGCTGATTCTCTCTCTCTTAAAAGTAAATAAATATTTAAAAAAATTGAAGCACTCTAAAATAAAAAAATGGAAAGATTATTGTAGCTTGAGGTGACCATGCCACAGTGCCGTTGAGTTGAGTATTCGTTACTTGATCCAGTCCCTGAAAGTCTCTGCTGTTCCAACTGAGGGCGTTGTACTTGGCTACTCCCTCATGAAAGGACAATGAAAATATATTTCGGGAAGTGCAATGAAAAGGAAAGTGAATATAATCCCTATTCAATGATTGGAAGAGATTCTGGCTTTGAATCAATCTTCCTGGGGTATCCATACTTGTGTATTTTTTATGTGATCATAACACACACCTAATTTTGCATTGTTTTTACTTAATCTAACCATTTTTGATAGTTCCAACACTTTTATGACTTGCGTTATACTTATATGGCCAATCTCCTTTTCAAACTGGAGGTTACTTCTGGTATTTTGCCATGACAAATAAGGCTGCAATGAACAATTGTGTTTGTGCACATAGTGTTGTCTTGCTTGTTCCTTTGAATTGTTGTCTTAGGATAAAAGTGGGATTCTAAGATTATTCTATGCCATTTTACTTCTTTCATTGCCACAAGACTTTTATGTCAATATTGCTCCCTTTCCTGCATTGCACATGTGCACTCTGAAACAGTCCATAAGCGAATACAAAGAGTACTGTGACTTAATGTGTTTCTTTGATTACTATCAAGTTTTAGCATTTTCCAAATGTTTGTCTTCCTTGTACTGCTTCCTGTTGAAGAACTGCATTTTATGTCATTACAGAAGAGACATCCTCTTTGACTATGAACAGTATGAATATCATGGGACATCGGTATGTACGAATAGGTGTACTTCACCATAAAATTCTGACTCAAGGGTCAGTGACCTAAAACATGAGGAGAAATGAGCATATGTTTTAGAACCACAAAAGCCTGGGGTGCCTGAGTAGCTCAGGTGGTTAGATGTCCAACTTCGGTCCAGATCATGATCTCACGGTCCATGAGTTTGAGCCCCGCGTTGGGCTCTCTGCTGACAGCTCAGAGCCTGGAGCCTGTTTCAGATTCTGTGTCTCACTCGCTCTCTGCCCCTCTCCCGTTCATGCTCTCTCTCTGTCTCAAAAATAAACGTTAAAAAAAAATTTTTTTTAGAACCATAAAAGCCTGATTTGAATCTGAGCCTCACAACTTCTGCTGTGTGACCTAGGGCATGTGGGGTAGCCTCTCTGAGACTTAAACTTTTGCTCCTCCATAAAAGGAAGAGAACAGCCCTCATTTCAGAGGCAGTTGTTAGGATGATCCTGCACACCCAATAGGTGCCCAAAGGACAACAGCTATTATTTTTGTTCACCATCAAAAATACAGAACAAGTCTGTTTATAATTACCGAGGCCCATCACTGCATGTGTTATGGAACAGAATTTCACATGGAAAACCTACTGTGTTGACTGTGGCAGGGATTTTTTTGCTTTGTTTTGTTTAATTAAAAAAAAATTTTTTTTTTAAGTTTGTTTACTTATTTTGAGAGAAAGCATGTACAAGCAGGGGAGGGGCAGAGAGAAGGAGAGAGAATCCTCAGCAGACTCTGCGTCATCAGTGCAGACCTTGATGCGGGGCTTGAACTCATGAACTGTGAGATTTTGACCTGAGCCGAGATCAAGAGTCGGACGCTTAACCAACTGTGCCACCCAGGTGCCCCTGACTCTGGTACTGTTGAGCAGAGCTCAAGGCTGTAAGGATCCCTAGAAAATTAGTTTCCAGTAAAATATGTGTTTGGTGTTAGCATTTGGCCCTGGGGCCTTGAACTCTGAGTGCCATATTTCCAGTATCCCTTTTAGTATCAAGATCTCATTGTCCTTTGAAAGATCATCTTTTTCCCTCTCTGCTCTGCCCCAGCACATGGAAAATTCCAAGCAGTGGGAGGTGGGTGGGGCAGCAGACGCCCAGCTCCCTCCAGATTTGTGAATCATTCCCTTGGAAATCCTCTCTGGTGGGCAGCCCAGCATCGCACAGCCAATGGGACTTTAGAATCTTCTGGTCAGACACTGATACCCCTTGTTGTCTCCTACCAAAACCGAGACTATGCTCACAGGGAGTTAGTTGCTTCTGTCTGCAGACAGCCCTGTTAGAAAGATCTTCCTCACAGAGGTCCTGAAGCACCCTTCCTCTTTAACGACCAGGTGATGAGAACCAAGGCCCTTCTTCATCCAGCCTTCCTGAGAATGTGTGTAAGCCTGCCAGCCAGCCAGGAGGAGCGTGTGGACAAAGGTCCCTAACCTCCTGGCTTCATTGCCTCCCCAGGTATCACTGAGGGACCCAGTGAGATGTGTAGAGGCACTAGCACAGTGCTGTACTCAGGTGTTCTCCCTTGCATGATGAAGTATGTACATAGAAATGACTAGTTAACAGAGGAGACCATGCAGATGACTTGAGGTCCTCTGTCTTCCTCCCTTGGTTTGGCCTGGAATCCACCAATGCTTCCTTCCCTAGTTGGGAAAACCTTCAATCTGCAGGGGCTTGGCTGGGATCCTGGACAACCCAGCCCTGGTGCACACCCTGCCTAGGAGCACAGCTGCCTTGGACCTCAGGCTTCTTTCTTTCTTTCAGTCAGCCATGGTGATGTTTGACCTGGCGTGGATGATGTCAAAGGACTTGAACGACATGCTGTGGTATGTAGGCCCCAGTCAAGACCAGTGCTGTGTGGGGCTTTCTTCTCCAAGTAGCCTTGTCCTTCCACAGTGAGAACAGGGTCTGGAAGAAGACATCACTGTGTGGTCCCCACCAGGAACATTGGACACAACCCCTTTCTGGGAATAGGCATAGCCCTGGCTGTCTTCCTTTGAGGCTTTTGTCTGCATACAAACTCCTAGGGGAAATGTAGGGAGCATTGTTGGGTGCAGAGGGTCAGGGGGTGGGGCCCGAGTGCAACTCTAACCTTCCCACCCTACCACTCAGCCTTGCTGCCTCCTAAGTTCAGGTGACAGTAGGAGTGGGAGATTTGACTATGGCAGCCTTTGTCAGGCAGCTTTGCTTCCCTGGCGTGCTGTGAAATCTGGTACAGGAATAACCCTTAGCCCACCTCTGAGTTTGCTGCACTGGCTGCAAGCAGGAGCACCCAGCACATTGGGGTGCTGTACACAGGTTGGTTTAAAAACTAAACCCAGAGTCTGAGGGAAAAAAATACAGGTCCGGCCTGCTCCACCCCCTCGGTCCTCTGCTCTAGTTCTGATTTTCTCCTCTACGAGATGAGGAGGGGATATTCTTTCCAGGCCTGAGCCCATGGTGGGGATTGTAATGGTCTTTGCTGAATCAGGGTTTTATGACAGCCGGGGGCTGGGGCAGGACCAAAGCCCTGGTTACACCTAGGCCCCAGGGTGCTCTGTCATCACCCTGAGCAGATGCCTACCTGCCATCCTCAGGTTCAGCTCTCTTAGCCTCACCTGCACCCCCTGCTGTGTGCTTGGGGGCACCCTTGACGGCCCACTCACAACAAGTACCTCCAGTTTAGCATTGATGTCAGAATATGCCCCCTTGAAATGCCTCCAGAAAACTCCAGATATAGCACAAGAACAAATACAAAATAATCTGATACAAAATATATGCATGGGAAGGTTGGAAGGAGGAAAGGGTGGGCTTGGGAAGACGCCCCATGGTGGCATGTTTTGAAGAAGACCTTCTGAGAAGGGACTCACTGCACTGACAGATATGGTGGGGTGCTCGAATGCCCTGCCCCCACATGAACCTTCCAGGGCCTCTCCATCTCACTTCTCCCAGCATCTTTGACTATTCTTGGCTCTGGTCCCAGAGGGGGTTATTGAAGGACACTGCCTGGGGACTGACAGAGGGTAATACCTGAGGTCCTGGTTCCTTCTGCCATGGGCTGGCCATGGTCCTTGGGGAGGTCAGGCCAGCTTGGGCCTCCATCATCTCATCCACAAAAGATGAACTTAGAGACAGGACCTTGGAAGGCTCTTATGAGGCCTAAATTCTGTGACTCTATGTCCTGCCATTTCATACCAGGACAACAGACATGGACTTGATGAGGGTCTGTTGTGCTGCAAGCCATATTGCAGAGGGGCAGGTGACATGAGGGGCTTGGGGGTGGAGTGACACACCAGGACCCACCAGCAACTGAGCACCAAGTCTGCTGCAGCTCTGCTCCAGAAAGATGAGGGTGGAGAGTGTTAGGGTCAGCCAGCTCCCAGAGACCACATCAGGCCTGCCATCCTTGCCCTGGGAGCGCTCCCTCCTGTGCACCAAAAGCTCCCACTGCTGTGCTGCTATGCTGCGAGCCCTGAGTTGGCTCCATAACCTTCTACCCTGCAGAGGAGAGACTGTCGGGCGGTGGGCCTGGGCCAGGCCATGCTCCTGTGAGCTTTGTTGCACTCTTCTCTTCCAGGTGGGCCATTGTTGGACTAACGGACCAGTGGGTGCAAGACAAGATCACCCAGTAAGGATGCACTCACTCAGGCTGTCAGAGGTTGGCCTGTGCTGTGGCCATGTGCATGGCCTGGCTGCAGCCCAGTTTTGCAGTGGGAAGATGGGTGGCAGAGCCCTGATGAGGAGGGGGCTGGCCTTAGGCTTGGATCCTTGTCACCGAGGAAGGGCTTAGAACTAGGCCTTGTGTGTATGCTTCATCCACCCTTGGGGAGCCCAGCAGGTGGAGCCAGAGGTGAGAGGAGGGAGCTCAGTATCCTGGCTCTCCGTGTGGTCCTTGCATGGTAGACATGGGGGCTCTGGGAGGAGGAGGTGAGGACCCCAGGAGTCCTACCAGGGAGGGTGGATGTGATCTCAAAGGCAAGGGGAAGGCTGGCAAGGACTGCCAGGAGGGCTGGCATGGAGCCGAATTCTCTTTTGCCCCTTGGTGAGCGGGCTTTAGTGCTCCCCATCACTCCTGATGGAGAGCTGAAGGGCTGCCCCATAATAGAGATACCTGGGAAGCATGGGGTGCCGGCACCCCCTCTCATCCGCATTCTGGTGGCCATCAGGTGAGGACTCTAAGAGAATTGACAGGGACCCCTACCCTAACCCTGTCCAAGAACACTCCTTGTGCAGTTTACAGAGGCCCCAGCACCCCCATTCCCTGCCTCTCCACCCCACTCTGCCCACCTGAGTCGTATGGTGTAGCCTAGGGACCAGGAGGGTTCTGAGTCTCACAGGCATGGATATCTTGCTGGGCCTTCTTCCCCCTTCTCTCTTAAAGATGGCATGCGTTGTGTGCAGCGCCAGGCACTGTCCCTGGCCTATGGCAGCCCCTCACATGAGGCTCCACTGTCACTGTCCTCCTCAGTGGCCATCTGCAGGTGGACCTGGACTGGGGTCTGCCCTCTCCTGCTGTGCTTGAGAGGATCCACACCCTTTGCTGTGGACTACTGTCACTATGTAGTCAGTCCACTTGACTGTGACTGCTGGACAGGGCTCTGGCCTCCTGCAGTGCCTGCCCTCAGGAACCCTCAAATAAGTAAGGGCAGGACAGCTGCCACCCAGAGGAGAGTGCAAGGGGGCAGGGGCTGCGGTCAAAACCCACCCCTCCCAGCTCTGTCTACTCACATGCCCCCTTGGGCCTGGATCCTTGTCGTGGAGGAAGGGCTTAGAACCTAGCTGCCAAGGCCCTGGTGCCACAGCCACATTTGGCTTTGCAGAGGTGGTGGACCTTCCTCATCCTGACAGGAACAGCCTGTATGGTGGGCTAGCCCCTTAGCCTGTGAGGGGGGTCCCCCGAGGGAAGGAGGGAAGCCACGTGGCCTGGCTGCACGTGAGGGAGGAAGGCATCCACCCAGGCGGCTGGCAGTGCTTTCATTCCAGGATGAAGTACGTAACGGACATTGGCATCCTGCAGCGCCATGTGTCTCGGCACAACCACCGGAATGAGGATGAGGAGAACTCCCTCTCTGTGGACTGTACACGGATTTCCTTCGAGTACGAGTATCCTTGTTGTTCAGGCCGGCCAAGCACAGGCAGCACCCCTGCCCTCAGTTTTGCTCAACCACACACCACTTTATCACCTCTGCAAGCCCAGCCCACATCCCCCTGGGGGTGGTGTGGTTGTGGCTGTGAAGTCGCAGGCCTGGATTGTACTGCTGTGTCTACTGTGTACTCAGGCAGGCAGTGGATGAAACAAGAGGCTTTGAGAAAGGGGCCCTGGTGTGCTCTCCAGGCTGGGCAAAGCACCAGGTACTGGGGAGCAGACTCTGTCCTGGCTCTTCTGTATGGCTTTGGCTGCTAAATGCCAGTGCTGTGTTCAGAAGCATCATCTATTTATTTACAGCTCATTGTAGGCCTGGTGTGTTGCAGGGCCTATCTGTGTAGTGCGGGCAGTTTAATGATGAGCGCAGACTCTTGCCAAGCCCGTCAGGAAGCAGTAAGCCAGCATGTGATTACAGAGCACAAATGTTCCATAAGCAGGTGGGGTATTGATGGAGTAACCAGGGGGTTGTTGGGTGGCAATACTCAGGAAAGGCCTTTGGGGGGGGCCACATCCCAGGCTGAGACTCAGACACACGGGGTGGGAGGGAGGACAGCCTGGGCCAAGACCGTGGCTGTGCAAAGGCCCTGAGGAAGGGACTGGAGAGGTGAGTGGAGTCTGAAGGTCAGAGAGCCCAGGGCAGTGGGAGGTTGAGGAGGTTGTTGAGTTCAATTCTTTATGCTTAAAAGGTCCCTGGACTGCTGGTTGCAGGGAGACAGACTGGCAGCCATAGGTATAAGGCAGGGCTGGGGCCTGCTGCTTCAGTGGTAGGTAGTGATGGCAGGAATGATGCTGTCCTATGCCTGCTGGGATGGATGGGGACCAATAAACGTGGATTTGGATAGGTGAGTAGAAGGTCATGTCTAGGAAGAGGTGTTAAATGTGAGGCATCTGAGCTCCCAGGATTGGAGAGCCCACCAGGGCCTGACACAGGATGTCCAGGGATCAGGTCCCAGCCATCAGGCTGGGCAGCACTGAGGACAGAGCCCACCATGTGGTCAGAGCCAAGCCTCAAGGGGAGATGTGTTGGCAGAAATGGTGTCAGGGCACCAGCATGACACTGGGAGGCAGGCAGAACCAGCCTGACATCCTGCTTAGACCCTTGGGACTGGGAAGAAGGGGCACACAATGGGGTGGGGACAGGATCACCCTCACACACAGCCATGCTCACAGCCCCACTGGCAGTAAACTGTGTTTAAGAAGAGGGGGTTTTGTTCAGGGGGTGTCCAGCAGAGAGGCGGGTGTGGGAGAGGGCCAAGCTAGGTGTAGCATGCAGGGAGCAGATGTGATGACAGCATGGACTGCCCTGTGTAGCCATGAGGACTGTCTCTGTCACCACAGTACCTAGACTCTCAGAACCCTTGTTCCTCAGTTTCCCCGTCTGTCCAACAGTGATAATGGTGTGCAGACACCCCCTTATAAGCTCTCCATACGGGTCAAATGAAGCTAAGGAGGTGTAACTGGTTGTGCAGGCAGGCTCTCTGGGGATGGGTAGGGCCGTGCACTGCCCAAGCCACGGGTCACTGCCCAGCCACTGCTTCCTTGACTGGGTCCAGCCTCCGCCTGGCACTCTACCAGCACTGGTCCCTCCATGACAGCCTATGCAACACATGCTACACTGCAGCCAGGTTCAAGCTCTGGTCTGTGCATGGGCAGAAGCGTCTCCAGGAGTTCCTTGCAGACGTGGGGTGAGTGACCGCCTTGGCCCAGAGGCACCCCCACTCCTCCCACCAGGGGAAAGGTCCCTCCCCTTGGTTGTGACCAACATTCAGAGCTGCCTGTTTCTACCTGAAGTGTCTCACTCGGAGACCCCAGAATATTGCCCAAAGGCCTACATATGAAGACCCCTCTCATGAGCACTGGGACTCCTTGTAGGGTGCTCTCAGTCTCACTGGTGCTTGGTGACCTCCATCTGAAGCCAGGTTACTCATGTGACTGGTGCTTGTCATCTTTCTAGCCTCCCCTTGAAACAGGTGAAGCAGAAGTTCCAGTCCATGGACGTCTCCTTGAAGGAGAATTTGCGGGAGATGATCGAAGAGTCTGCAAATAAATTTGGGTAAACACATGTTTTTCGGCATTAAGCTTTGTTCAGGCTTCAGCTTTAACCTAAAATAATGCAAAAACAAGAATACACAAGCAAATATGACCTGTCTAATCTTTCCCAAAGTTTTGAGTTCTCTTTGGTTTAAAAGTAGGTCCAGGTCTAGAGAAGTCCGGGTCCTTACATCCTGGGGCTGAGGTGTAGACCTCTAGGTCAACCTGGTCTATCCCTGACTGGACACAGGAAATAGCTGTGGAAAGGGCCCCCTGAGGCCAGGTTCAGGCGCGCTCTGCCTAGAGGGTCCTGTGGCTGCTTCTAGCATCCTGGGACATGGGAGGGGCTGCACACACATCTCTGCTCTTTCCCCCAACCAATAGGACAGCTTTGGACAAGGCACTCAGTGCCTCAGGTTACAGGGCTATTATGTCAGGTCTTCTCCCCCCCTCCATTCTTGGACCACAGTGGTCTTGCCTTGTGCATTAGCAGGGGCCAGGGAGAGACAGCCGTACATCTGCTGGCCCAGCCTGGCAGTGAGAGCACCCACAACTTGAGAGCACTCCCACATGCACACAGGGATATCAGCCATGTTGCTTGCTCCCATTGCAGGATGAAGGACATGCGCGTGCAGACTTTCAGCATTCACTTCGGGTTCAAGCATAAGTTCCTGGCCAGTGACGTGGTCTTTGCCACCATGTCACTGATGGAGAGTCCCGAGAAGGACGGCTCAGGGACAGATAACTTCATCCAGGCTTTGGACAGTCTCTCCAGGTAGTGGGCCACTATCCCTCATCCTAATACTCTTCAAGGAGGCAAGTCACAGGGACCCCAGGGGCATGGGGGTGACTGTGTCCTGCAGAAAGTAATCGCAGTCCACCAGGGGAGCATGTGACACATTTCCTGTACATCTTCCTCTCAAACCCTTTCCTTCTCCTTTCTTTTTGATTTTTAATCATCGTTTCTTACCTCCTTGACCTCTTCAGTCATTATTTGTGGTGTTTATTCATTCTTGTGAGTTTTTTTCTAGTTTAATCTTCATTTATCAATTATTTGCCTCTTATTTCTAATTTTTTTATTTCATTTCCTGAGATGTCTCATTTTATATTTTGTTTTTAATGTGTCTGAGCTTGCTTTGAAATAGAACATTACAGTGTTGACCTTCTGGGGGCACATCTTTCTAGAGTACTTTTATTATCGATATAGGTATGCTATTCTCCCTATTCCCTTTTTTCTGATAGTAACTTTGAGAGGATTTGACCTTGCTCCTTGTCTGTTTCTCATTTTTTGTGTGTAAATTTAGCTTCCCTGACTTTCAGAGGAGGCATGATTCAGACAGCTTTCTAACTTCAGAGAACTGCCACTTCTGTTGCTGTGCAGTGTTAAAAAATGTAGGGGTCTGCTTTCTGGGGTTTCCTGCCCTGTTCCCTGACATACTTTTTTTAAACAGCTTTACTGAGTTATAATTTGTACACCATATAATCCACCCATTTAAAGTGTACAATTCAGTGGCTTTTAGTATATTTACAAGGTTGTGCAAATATCACCACTACCTAATTTTAGAACATATTCGTTGCATCAGAAAGAAGTCCCCCATTCCCCTTAACCATCACCTCCCAAATCTCCCATCTCTCTGAGCCCTAGGCAACCACTAATCTACTTTCTGTCTTCATAGATTTGCTATTTTGGACACTTCGTATAAACGGGATTGAACAATACATGTCCTTTTATGACTGACTCCTTTCACTTAGACTAGTGTTCTCAAGGTTCATCCATGTTGCAACATGAAGAAATTTCCTTCCTTTTTCTTGCAAATAAGACCCTATGGTATGGATATACCACATTTTATTCATCCATTGATCAGTGGTAGTTTCTACCTTTTGACTGTTATGAATAATGCTGCCATAAATACGCATATATAAGTTGTGTGGACGTGTTTTCATTGCTCTTGCGTATATGCCTGAGGATGGGATTTCTGGGTCGTATGGTAAGTCTGTTTTATCTTTTGAATAATGGGTAGACTGTTTTCCAAAGTGATTATATCATTTTACATTCCATCAGTAGTGTATGAGTTTGAATTTCTCCACACCCACGATGGCCATCCTAGTGTGAAGTGACGTGAAGTGGGATCTCATTGTGGTTTTGATTTGCATTTCCCTCATGGCTAATGATGTTGAGCAGCTTTTCAGTGCTTATTGGCTATTTGTAGATCTCATTTGGAGAGCTGTCTATTCAAGTCCTTTGTCCATTTTTAAATTGTCTTTATTATGGAGCTGTAAGAATTGTTTCCTATATTCTAAATATAAATCCCTTACCAAATACATGATTTGCAAATATTTTCCCCCCATCCTGTGGGTTATCTTTTCACTTTCTTGATACAGTTCTTTGAAGCACAAGGTTTTAATTTCAGTCATATCCAGGTTATCCTTTTTCTTTTGTTTCTTATGTTTTTGATGTCATATCTAAGAAACCACTTCAGAGTTTTATAGTTTTTGCCTTTACATTAGGTGTATGATTCATTTGAGGTTAATTTTTGTGTCTGGTGCAAGGAACAGGTTCAACTTAATCCTTTTGTATGTGTACATCCAAATTGTTCTAATACCATTTGTTGAAAAGACTTCTTTCCCCCCACTGAATCATTTTGGCACCCATGTTGAATATCAGTGAACTGTGAATATGAGAATTTATTTCTAGACTCTCAGTTCTGTCCCATCAATTGGTGTATCTGTCCTTGTGGCAATACCACACGGTTTTGATTACTGTAGCTTTATAGCTAGTTTTGGTTATTCTGTGTTCCTTGAAGTTCCATATGAGTTTTAGGATCAGCTTGTCAGATACTGCAAAGAAGTCATATTGCTTTGAACCTATAGATAAATTTGGGGAGTATTGTTGTCTCAACAATAGGAAGTCTTCCAGTCCATGAACATGGGATGTTTTCCCATTAACTCAGATCCTCTTTAATTTTTTTCAAGAACGTTTTGTATTTTTCAGAGAATAAATTCTTTTTGTACTTCTTTTGTTAAATTTATTCTTTTTTTTAAATGTTTATTTATTTTGAGAGCACATTCACAAGCAGGGGAGGGACAAGAGAGAGGGAGAGAGAGAATCCCAAGCAGGCTCCACACCATCAGCACAGAGCCTAACTTGGGGCTCGATCTCACGAACCTTGAGATCATCACCTGAGCTGAGATCAAGCGTTGGATGCTTAACCGACTGAGCCACCCAGGTTGCCCCTGTTAAATTTATTCCTAAATATTTTATTCTTTTTGACATTATGGTAAATGGACTTGTTTTCTTAATTTTATTTTTGTTTACTGATTGCTATTGCATAGAAATACAGTTGCTTTTTGTATATTTATCTTGTGTCTTGCAACAGTATTGAACTTATATATTAGCTCTAATAGTTTTTTTGTTTGTTTGTTTTTAGTTGTAATAGGTTTTAGTTATTTCTTAGGATTTCCTGTATACAAGATTATGTTATCTGCAAATAGAGATGGTTTTACTTCTTCCTTTCCAACTGCTAGAACCTCCACTACAATCCCAGGTACATTTTTATCTGTATCTTCTTTTTCCTTTTTCATATTGTCTCTGTCTTACTCAATTTTGATTCCATCTTGGCAGTTTCTCCTCAGTGAGGGACCCAGAGTGGAAAGGAGCTCTGGCTGGTCAGAGCTAGACTGCTACGGCCCCCTAGTCTTTACCATGTCCCCTTGCACTTTATCACAGCTCCTGCACTCACCTGCTATTGGACAGGGTAAAACTCTCACTTTGAACCACTGTGCCCCAGTTGCCTGGTGTTTTTAAACATTCTTAGCTCTTGCTGCTTCTCTGCTCCCTCCCACACTAACTCCCAAAGATACACCAGTCTTATGGCCAGTTGGTGGTCTATTCCCCCTGCTTATATTTTGGGGTCTACAGTGTTCCCTTATTCCCTTGTCATGAGAGTCCTAGATTTTTGGTTTTACAATGTGGTTGCTCTATTTTTATCTAGAAATATAAGGAAATCCCAAAACTATAGTATCAACTGTTGATGCCCTCATCCCAGAGTTGATGGAGCAGTTTTAGACATTGTTTACTGACTTCCTGCTATGACAGAATATTTATTCCTCTTTTGTGCTCCTTTCCCTTCCTGTGCCACTGTTTTTAGCTCCTTTGTAACTGTAACATACTTGCATCTTGTTCTATCACCATTGTCTCTTTTCTCCCTACTTTGTAAGAAAAAGATATTAGCATTCTTACTTTTCTCTTCCCTATACCTTCTACTTTGTGAAATCTATGCTTTTATATTTTTAGGGTTAATAACACTTGGTTAGAGAATAGAATGCAAGTCATCTCATCCTTGACTATAGATTTGATTCTAAAAGATGAAAATCAATGTTCCAGAATCACTCGTGTGCAGTGATTATGTTACTTTCTGATGCTGCTCTTTGTTTTTCCTGGAACTCTTAATTGCCTTCTTTATAATATCCAGTTTTTTCCCCAGCTCTACTTCCAGGAGCTATTCCTTGAGTCCCTTTTGTCTAGGAGAGCCTGGGGTTCTGCCTTCTGACACCAGCCTGGACCTGCAGCTCTCTAGGCCTGCTGTTCGCTGCCACCACTGATGTTTGGCACTGACTGTGCCAATCCCAGGCACTGACTCTGCCCTGGGTTGGAGCCAGTGTTTCTTAGGGTCTTTGTCTTTGGTTTTTTCAGCCTTTCATTTTTTTAGAGCATACTTCTCTTTCTTTAAAGAAAGAGCACATAGGAGGTAAATGTTCTGAGTTCTTGCACATCTGACAATATCTTTATTCCACCCTCACCTGGTCCCTGGTATAGCTTGTATACAATTCAAGGTTGAAGGTAATTTCCTGTTAAATGTGGATTTTATTGCTCCCCTGTCTTCTAGCAGCCAGTGGTGCTAATTGAGGTCTGAGCTATCTTAGTTCTTGTTTCTTTATCAATGCCTCATACCCCACCTAAAAAAGCTTGCAGGATTTTTTCTTTTATTTTCAGTGTTTTGTGATTTCATAGTGATGTGTCTTGGGTAGATCTTGCCTCATGGATTGTACTGGGTTCTCAGGCGAGCCCTTTTGATCCAAAGCCCCAGATTTTTCAGCTTGGGAATTCTTTTGTACCATTTATTACTCCTCTCAAACATACATATGTGTTTTTTTTTATTCTTTCTTTCCTGGAATAATGCTCTGTCTGATTTTTGCCTTATGTTTTCCATGTTTGTCTTATTCTTGGTGTTAAGGAAGCTTCTTGACTTTATCCTTTGAGTGAATTTTTTATTTTTTTGCAATCACTTTACTTTCCACAAACACTTTGAGTTTCTGATTGTTCCTTTTTCATGGCATCCTGTTACTGGTTTACAAATATCTTAGTTGCCCAAATTCCTTTGAAGATTTTAATTAGAATTCATTTCAAGTTTTCTTTTGTTCTCCAAATTATCTCTGTTTCATCTAGGGTCACTTTTTCTGGGCATAGGCATTTCTCAAATACCTGGTGGTCCTCATGATCAAGAGGGGGAGCTGTGGAAACCTGGTGAGGCACTGGGTCTTTGGGTATAGCATACAGGCTAGAAGGCATTGCTTCATCTTGGCAGGTCGAGAGCCAATATGACACTTTGAGACCTTTAACTTCTTGGTGCACTTCTCCACAGAGTTCATTTTAATGTATTTAGAGGAGAACCCTCCTTTCGTGGGGGGAAGGGTAATAATCCATCCGTCAGGTGAGGTGTCCCTGATCCTCCTCTTGGACCTTGCCCTGGCCCCTCTGTCAGAGCCCTCTGGACACCTTCCAGGTCCTGCTGGACAGTGTCTTCACTCTGTTGGCTTTCAGTTTCCTGTCTTCTGATGCCCCTCCCACATCTCATGTTTGTCACTGGGTTTATGTATGTTTTATTCCTTCCTTTCATATGAAAGGGAACTCAGGAGGGAAAGAAAGAAACTCTCATCCCCATATACCCTCCCAGGAGCCAAGTGCTCTGTTTGTGACTCTATGCTGAAGCTGTGTGTCTGCCGTGTTACAGGAGTAACCTGGACAAACTCTACCATGGCCTGGAACTCGCCAAGAAGCAGCTGCGAGCCACGCAGCAGACCATCGCCAGCTGCCTCTGCACCAACCTTGTCATCTCCCAGGGGCCCTTCCTCTACTGCTCCCTCATGGAGGTCAGGCTTCCTGTGGACAGCTGAGCACCAGGCCACGCCTGCCAGCAGCCCCGTCTGACTGTCTCTGTGTCCTTCCCCTGCAGGGCACTCCGGACATTGTGCTATTTTCCAAGCCAGCATCCCTGAGCCTGCTCAGCAGACACCTGCTGAAGTCCTTTGTGTGTTCGGTGAGGAACTGGGTGGGTGGGTGCCAGAAGGTAGATGCCCAGAGCAGAACTTGGACTAGGCGTTAGAGGCTGGCCTTGAGGTACTGGTGGCCGTGCACCAGCTGTGGGGTCTGAGGAAAACGCTCACTTTTTCTGAGCTGTGTTTTCCTCAGCTGACCCTTCGGAATCTTCTAGTTCCTAGAAGCTCTGATTTTGTTACTTGGCCATCCTGGTCTCTTGGACAAGTAGGAAGGGACCTCATGGAGAATGTGAGGCTACGGCTTATGTTCAGCTGTGGCAGACCAGAGAGAGATGAAGTTGGTTGTAGCACAGACTTGCTTCCTAGCAAAACTTTGTTTTCTGGGCTGGCTTTCCCTTTTCCATGTGTGGTTCCATCTTTTGTATGGCCTAACAGCCTTCTTTGCCTTGGCCTGGGACACCCACCCCTACCCAGCTAAGATCAGGCTAACACACCCCCTGGGTATGATCACAAAAGGGATGATCCCACACATGTCAACAATCAAAGTCTTACTCTGCTTCCTGTATGACAGTTTACACTGGGGGCTACTCTAAACAAAATGTTTAATAGGATGTTGACATTATCTCATACCACTGAACTGACCTATAAAATGATTATCTGAGTATTATGTGAAGACAGTCAAATAATGACAAAAGTTGGACTAGGGACAAAACATGAGCTCTAAAGTTGTCTAAGCTTCTTTTATTATTATTTTTTTAGTGTTTATTTATTTTCGAGAGAGACAGAGTGTGAGTGGGGGCAGGGCAGAGAGAGAGAGAGAGGGAGACACAGAATCTGAAGCAGTCTCCAGGCTCTGAGTTGTCCGTACAGAGCCTGACATGGGGCTCAGACTTCTGTACCACGAGATCATGACCTGAGCCGAAGTTGGACGCTTAACCAACTGAGCCACGCTGATGCCCCTGTCTAGGCTTCTTTTAAATCTCAGCCTCCTTGTTTACCAGTTGTGTGATGTGAGGTCAATTATTTGATCTCTGGCCTCAGTTTCCTCATCTGTAAAAAGGGTGAATGAATATCCGCTTCACAGGACCCATCATTTTTTTTTTTT